TTGCATTTATTAACCAAACAAACTCATTTTCTACATTAATGACTTAAGGAATTAACATGCAAAACGAAATCTCAGCACTAAATTGGCAAGACACATCAGACGATGCGGTAAAATGAGTTCAATTACCGCATGAAAACAGGTTTTACCTGTTTACACAGTATTAACTTTATTCTACTGTGAGCTATAACAGTATTGCAGTTTTCAAGTTGGGAAGCTAAAGGAAAACATTTTAAACCATCATTCAGATATAACAGATTTCAAATACTAAATCTCTTAATACACAACAGATTGCTATGATATTGGCTTGGAATTATACTGTGCCTTTCTGTGCAAAGGCGGCATTTATTTAGTTGCTTAAAATGTTTTAATTACATTTCTATGAAATAATGAACTACAAATACTAATAAGAAATATATGGGACTTCGCTATATTGTGAATATACTGTGGTCAAAGTTATAGCCAATGAGTTACATACAATACAAAAAAAAAAAAGATGCAAAATTGTAATACTGCACAGTGTTAATTAGAATTTGTGCTCTATAAAGTATACAGCGCTTTATTCATCTCTTTCACATCAAAAATTTCATTTTCTTTGTTTTGAAGATAATTCATGTCAGTCAAACTCACACAAGTGAGAGAGGAAAAGACACATTCATATTCATGTTAATTTATATACATGTTCATATTCATGTTAATTTATATACAGGCTTTTATATAATATAAAATGATGTGATATAACATGTTTAGATGATAGAACAAGGAGTATCTGAAATAATATTATGTGTAGAATTTTATAATACCAATCAGCTTGTAGAAATGCAGAACATTTAATGAAGGGGTCATATCATGAGAAAACATTTTTAAATAGTATTTTTAGTACTTTTAAATAGAACAATACTTTATAAATAAAATAATTTCTCATTACATGACCTCTGTTTTAAACGTTTTGAATTTCTACAGTCAATGAATCAGCAGTTGCTCTTCCAGGCCTGAAATTTACAAGCACACAGTCACATTTTCTCAATCTGGAAAAAAGAGGTGTTTGTCAGGGTTGAAATGCTGAGTGTGCATTAGAGAAAATCTGAAGTGTATGTGTACTGACAGGAGGACAGCGTGGTGTGTGACAGCAGCTAGTTGTCTGGCCCGAGCAGCAGCTACAGGCTTCTATAGAGCAGATAATAGATCTGGACAAATATCAGGTAGTAGGATGTGCACTCTTGGCAGAGTGTGGGTTTAGAGTTATAACACTAAAAAAAACAAAAAAAAACCCCGGAACATGTCTATGTAGTTTAGTAGAACTATTAGACATCTGACTATCAGTATAACATCTCAGCTGGTGTACCCAACGACACAAGGCCTGTTTACTGGCCAAGTTAAGAGCTGGTTGAATCAGGGTGCACAGATTTTACCAGGAATTTCTTCTGTGTTTTCTATACGGTTTAGCGAAGCAGCTTAGCAAGCATCACTAATAATTACAATGTGCTCTTTTAAGTGTTAGGGTTGTCTAGTCATTTCAGTGTTTGGTTATTAGTGCAGACATGAGCCATGCAAATGAGCAGTCCAGGTGCACGCGGATGTGCGTGTGTGTGTGTGTGTGTGTGTGTGACACTTAGAAAGCTGACTATTTTGCCTTGTGGCATAAGTGTAGTTGAATGATAATGTTTAGACGCACTTCTAGTAGGGGTGTGCGATATTGACAAAAAATGATATCTCAATATTTTCTGGGATTTTATCGATAACGATAATTAATAAATTTTCTGCCATCATGTCTTGAATTTGTGATCATTCTAAATGCATTTTAATCATGCAGTGAAAGAAAACACACTAAATGCGCACACGCACTAGTCTAGACTTCACGTAATGTATGCGTGCGCTCTGTAGGGATGTTTTGAATGGTTTTTGCAAAATACTCGATAATGTCAAATCGCACAACGTTAAAACAACAATTACGATATTATCGCAGACGATATATATCGCACACCCCTAACTTCTAGTAAGTATCAGAATACTTCTCATACTCGCTCTTCTCACAAACTCACTATAATGCGCGGTGACACTCAGTCTGATGCCCTTGCAGATGATTATGACTGACATTCACGGAAAATGAATGTGCAGGAGGTTGATTTACAATCTGTATCTCTAGCAATGGATTGTTAAACTGATGTATTTGACTTTTACATTTGTCTAAAAACACTGCACAAGGACAGAAAAAGATATCATAACATGTCCTCTGACAATACAAAAACAACTGATGTCAATGTTTGCTACGTCTGCACTTTTGTATCCTCTTTTGTATCCTCTTGAGACTCATTTTTGTTCTCGATAGGGAACATGAGCCCAAAGTCTAAAATTTGTTTTATTTTGATTTTAATTCCTCATCTATTTGCATTGAACTTTACATTTGTATATCAGACATTTTTTCTGCAAAGCCCTAAATCACGAAAATCACAAGCAGTTTATCATAAAGGTGCCAACAATAATAGATTTATTACAGTACAGAGTATACAGAAGCTAGTTTTTAAAAAATAAATAAGAAGGGCTTAAGAAGCTACATTTGTAATATTGTTGTCAAATTTTATTGGTGATTTGATACGTTATAAATGTTATCTTGACAAACAGTTGAGGAGCTGTAGTTGCGTAACTGTAAACAGCAGTCTACACCTTAAAAATAAAGATTCTTTATTGCTATTGTTGGTTCCATGAAGAACCTTTAACACCCATGGAACCATTGCACAAAAGGTTCTTTATATATACTTTATTCTCATATATACTTCATATCTACTTATATTACAAATGTGATTATCTAAATATGTTATATAGAGTAAAAAAAGAAGAAGTGTAAAAAAAAAAAGATAACAATGGTTTCTTGTAATATTATACACATGAATGAAGCCCAACAGAGAAACCAGCTCTCATGCCAACATAATAAGCAATCTGCTTTGCTCAGTGTTCACAGACACGCTGGAGGTCCTTCTATTACCTGGTTACCTGGAACCCCTGCGTTCCGGCCCATATGGAGCCCTTCAAACATGCAGCCACAACAGACTCGAGCAAAAAATCCACAACCAATCTCCTGTCATCTACCAAAACCATTCCGCTTCATTTTTCATGCGAATATAAATCTTTCTGCCTATGATATCTGAAGATCTGTACTTTATGAGCGGCTGGCCTTTTTCCAAGGCATGACATCATCACGGGTTTGACTCAGACGCAACACTCCCCAAACCCCGGAGAACATCAGCTTCCATACAGCAACGTGCTGAGATATTAATGAGCTTATATTTTAACTGATTATGTGAGAGCTAATCCGCTGTTTACAAACAGCAGCAGATGGGATTTTACAGGTGAGAAGCTAAACAAACTGGTAAAATATAAATACAAATACAATAAAAAATAAAATACATTAAATAAATAAATAAAAATGTTTAGTTTTTTTTTATGTGGAGAGACTATAAACTCTAGACAAACTAAAGTACTGTAAATTACTGCATTGCGTAATCCAGCAGGGTTCAGACTACGACAGTCTGTCCTCTGTCTATCCTGTCCACAAGAGACAAAGATAGGGATGGAAAGACTATCCATAGAGTAAGTGATGGAGGGAGTGGGGGGCTACGAGAAGATTATTTTCTATTTATGACCTCATGGGGAGTGTGTGACTCTTGTAAAGCGGCGTCCCTCATACAGACACAAAGATGTAAACAATGCATCCCATGTGGGGAACCAGGGATCAATGGGAATAATCTCTTCAGAACTGACACCAGTCCAGTCACCCACATGGCTCTGTCTAAAACTTCGCATTATTGATATCCTACAAGACCCCCAAGGGCCCTGTGCTATGAAGTGATATGGAGTAGTCGTCGATCGATTCAGAAACAGAGTGCCAGAGATTCAAGGGCAATGAAAGAATGAAAGAGGTGAAGGAGGATACAGAGAAAGATAGAGGGCATAAAACCTAATAGAAAGTTCTGTCAAAGTAGATGTGAAATGAAATGAAAATGTCAGCCTGCTTTGGACTAAATCTGTCCATTATTGGTGACTAACCACTGTGCTTTTTGTTTAAAGCTGTTATCTTTGGGCTGCAGAGCTTAACGCCTATGGAAAACACACAAGCAATTACAGTATCCAACCGATTTAATAATGAAACAAAGTGGGAGTTATTCATGTGCTCAGTTAAAAATTGGTTTTAAAATGAGATACAACTTATGGGCAATGTCTTTATTTCTTAAGAGCACATTTCCCACTTGGGAATCGATTTTAAATACTTTTTCCTTGAATTGCATTTATAAATGTTAGTCATTTCTGTCACAAATTAGATGTACAAAGCCATTTTCAACCCTGTCTCCTACAGTACCTTTAGGTCTATTTCATAAGGCAAACGAAGCAACAGCACAACCACAATAGCAGGTTTGCGTTGAACAAATGGTTTTTCTACCATAAATATTATGGAGTGATTTTAGGTTACTATATTGAATATTTCCTTTATTAGCAGCCATATAATATTCAGCAATGTACACAGAGCAAAAAAAATAGGCTTAGCACAAAAACACTAATTATACCTACAGTACATTTCTCCTAAACTACACTGTAATACTGTAACCTGTTAACATAAGCAACAAAAGCTAAATAAATATATAATTTCCATTTAAAAATTAATAATAATAATAATATTTTTATTTTTTTTTCCCTTTTTAGTTTTATTTCTCATCTATTGGAGGTTTAACTTTAGATTTGTACAAAGGAACAAATGAGAAAAATGAAACGCTATCAAATGTGCCAACAATAGCTTTACTGCAATACAGAATAGTGCAAAAGCTAGTTAAAAAATAATGATTTAAAAAAGTTAAATAAAATAGTTAAAGTACATCAAAATTATATACAATAAAAAAACAGACTGGATTTTGAAAAAAAAATCAAAGGCATTTATTAAATGTGCTAAGCATGGAATAAAGAATGCACTTAAATTTGTGTGAGTGTATTCGTTTGCGAATCCACACACTGACCTGATCTTCCATCTCGTTGGATGTCCACATGATACCAGGCCCCGTCGTTCACCTTGTTCTGTGTGGCTTTCACTTTGATAGTCCCAGAGCCCATGTCCAGCAGCAGGTACAAACTTCCATCCAGAAGCTCTACTGCAAAAAAGTCCACTTTTGTGTTCTTTTGGCTACGGGCGTCCTTTCTTTCCTGTGGCTTCCCGTGGGTGAAGAGAATAAGGCCGTTTGGTTCGGTGGTACGGAAGTCGAAGGAGATGGAGCCCATGCGTTTGGTGTTCCACTTGGGTAGGCTGATGTAGGCCTCGGGTGTCTCGAACGAGATGGGGTCCAGGGTGGCCACGTTCTCGCACTTGAACACCACATCTCCCTGGATCTTCATTTTGGGATCCACGATGCGGGCAAGCCGGGAGAGCTCCAGCCGGATGTCATTGTTTTTGTAAACAACCTGTGCGGATGTAAGCAAAGAATCACTCAATGATGATGATATATGAGATATCTTTATCTGGCTTTCAAAGATAATGAATATAAATATGCAAATTCATTTTTTATGCTGGATGCCAAATAGAGAGACCAGGAAAGGTGACTTTATTCAAATATGACCTGTGATGATACCAATATGCCAGGCCACTGCCTGCAAATGACTGTCTCTCAGTGGTAATTGACTCGGGCTGGTTGTGGGTCTGGCTTTCTTGATAACTATGGTAATGGGTTGACAAAGCTGCAATGGCTCTTTCTGCCACAAAAGCTCTGAGGAAGCAAGTCCTGCCCCCTGCCTGCTTCCCAAATCTGACATTGTGCTCTGGGTCCTAGAGCCTGTCAGTTGAAACCAAGACAACAGCCATATGCTCCGAGCAAGTGCTTAGTTTTATTAGGGCTTGACATTTACTTTTATCCAATGCACATGTGCTCTTAAATTGAAATACTGATTTTTTTCTAATAAAGGGATACAAGGAGATATTTAAAAGCAAAATGATTTATTAGAATTAGTTAAATATTTCTAGTTAATTATATAACATTTATGCATAATGTGGGACTTCTAATTATAAACAAGCCCGAAGTACATCGGGACTCTTATTTTGAAATGTCTATACTATTGACAGCTTTTCAAAAAGATGAGGGAGACAAAATGAAGGAGGATTCTGGGACTCTTACAACCATCTACAACATACGTTAATATGCAAACAAAATAAATACGACCATAATTCATCAACAGTAGATCATAAGCAATTTATTGGTATAAATGCGCTGTATTCTGAAATGGTGAGCCTGTAGAACATGCAACAGCATCACGATTTTACTTTTAAATGTGCAGGGCTCATATTTATATAATGAAATTATAGCCTAAATAATCACATTAGGCTGTTTAGCGATTCCTTTTTTCCATCCCCAAATTTAAGACCTTTTAAAATAATAATTAAGACATTTGTTACATCATTTAAGACATTCAAGACTTTTTATGACCTTACATTTAATAAAACTCCATGGGGAATTTTTTTCTTTTCTTTTTTTCGCACACATGCTCTTAAACACATTTTACAGTTGAAGTAAAATATAAGACTTTTTATGACCTTACATTTCATAAAACTCAGCAGAGACTTTTTTTTTATTTGCATACACATGTTCCCAAATATATTTTACAGTTTGCACACATCTATTTTTAGTCACAAATGCAAGTGAAATGCTCACAATGTTGAGCCCTGTTGGTAAAAGGCCATCTGGGCTATTTTTTTGCAAATTAATATGGTTGCTATTTCTCTGCCATACTAATTTTGCACGGTCTGACCATACATTACATTTAATACAGATTAAACGGGTGTAGAGCGTACTGTACCTGCAAACACCGCAGAAATTCGCCGGGGTGTGAAATTGCCTGCTTTAGCTAATTTCTCCCGAATAAAGAGATCTTTTTTGGGTGTACATTTTTAGAACATCACACTGTTTTTGAGCGCAAGCAATCGACACAAACGCTCCAGCCCTGATATTACAGTTAATCCTGGACATTGCGGGGTGTAAATCAAACATCCTCTCAGGTGCAGGAAGGGCAAAGCGGAATGGAAGGATTGTATTCTGTTTCTGCAGAAAAGCCACTGAGATTTCCAGGCTTTTCTCCTCTGCTGTGTTTCCTATCTGATAGATCATAAATATCATTCTCCCTGAGGGGGATCCATTTCTCAGACAAAGCCATACGTTGGTTCCTCAGATCTCATACAAACATCATCAGTTTTCTCCACAAGACTAAAACTGCTAGCTTCAGTCTCTTATTGTTCTTTCGAAAACAGTATTTCTCCTCTATAAACCATCAAGGTGCTGTCAGATAGATTGACGTACACTGGCTCTGTTAAAACTCTAACATCATGAAGGAAAGAATCAGAGAAATTTAAAGCACTTATTGCACTGTTGTCTAGAAACTGGAGACTATATTATAGAAGTCCATGTCTGAAATACTGGCATGATGGTACATCATGTACTGTATAGACCGTTTTCTTAAACTATATTATATTATAATTGAGATTTTCACACACACACACACAGAAACAATATAATACAGAATTTTTTTTTTTTTTTTCAAATATGACCTTGAGGACTTCAACATGACTGAAAACTGTCAGACATTGATTAGACAATGATTGCTGTTATTTGTAACATTATCATTTCTATTTATCCTGTCTGGTGCATTTTTCATCACCTAAATCAAGTTTCATCTTGCAAATTGTCCACAACACCAGGGGCAGCCATAGTGTCTGACACAAATTGATACTCTGCAATTTGGTCCGTTCTATGGCATTGTCATTTTGATGCGCTCAGGCGGCCCATGAAATGTCAGCCGGTTAATTCAGCTGATGAGCCGCTCAGAGCTGTGAAATATTCGCACCCTTCTCAGAGTCTTGATTCTGTAACCGAGCTTGCAAATCATATTTCAGTTGTCCAAACTGTTAAATCTCTTTGCAGAAATATTCTTTAATTGCATTAATTTACTTTTGGAGTGAGGTGCAAACCATAGCGGAAAAGCAACATATGTCACTCAAACAAAATAAGCATTTCAGGGGAGAACAAATATTTGTTCCCCTGGGAGAAAAGAAGGGTTACTTGAATAGAGCACCCATAGAAATCTGACGTTTGAATATAATGCCAGGGCTTTATCTAACAACAACTGGTATGTAGTTTGCAGGAAAAGCAAGCAAGTGTAACTGAGACATAATCTATAGATAGACATGAGAAGACTCCAAGAATCTGTCTGTGTGGAGCTATCTCGGCTTTATGGATTCGGCCGTGAGGGAACGTAAGGATTGACTGGTTCCAGACACGGAAAGAAATTTGTTTGAGTGTGTGGATGGACTAAAAATTTCATCAGGTTGTTATCTCGCCTTGCAGACTCTGAAATAAACTGGAAAAAGTGAAACAAAAAAGGATGGCGACGTTTCTTATGCAAGTCTTTGTTGTACAGCTAAGCTATTTACAACCAGAGAGGCCACATATTCTTCCTAAGGCTTTTGTTAAAAAAAAAAAGTTTGTCCCACTTTATATTAAGCGGCCTCAACTACTATGTACTTGCATCAAAATAATAAGTACAACGTACTATGGCTGCCCTCGACTAAAGATTTTTCTGGTCAACTAGTAGTCGTTCATTTGAAGCATTAGTTGACTAATCGCACGTTTATTAATAAACCATTTAAAGCATAATAATGAGCCTTTAATTGCCTACATAGCCTAAGCGCTCAAGTGCACGCATAAGCTTGCCACAGCACAGCGACAGAAGAATTAATGATTATGAATGTGTCAGGGAAAAACAGTAAGGAGGCTGCATTAACATTTTAATAATCCATTGATAAACTAGTGCTTTCTTTGTTTTCGGTTTAAGAGATGAAGTCGGCGACACTGACTCGTCATCTTTGCAGTAGTGGATGTGCCTGTATGCATGTTTCATATGGATTACATAATCTGGGAATATTTGTTTTTCATTTGAATTGGTTTATTCGAAAGTTGACATTTCGCTCTCTATAGATATATTTTTTCATGTCTGTTAGACAAATATACACCGAGTTTCGCGCTCAAGTTCACAGAGACTGAGAGGCCAGAAAGTGCATCCTGTATGCTTTCATTATTTTACAAAAGCACAATGTTTTGTTGTTATTGTGAGTGCACAAAAATAAATGTAGTCTTTACAGATTTGAAAGATGTATTACTCTTATCTGTATGAGCAAAAATGAGAGAGCATTTTAAGAGCAAGTGAGCAGACCGGCTCCTCCATCTGTCCTGCAGTGAGCGCTACTGTTCAGCTTCCACACTCTGCACAGACACTTGAATAGCGCACATTTTTCCACGTTAACATTATTGAGCGGCCATGTAACATTGCTGCTACTTACATATTTCAGATGATAAGCCATATTTGAGGTCGATGAATGATAGGCGAGCGTTTGTATGTCCTGCCCGATTGTACTACCACATAGACCAACCGTTAACGATCTGCGTGACTTCGCCAATGTGGATTTTTATTTATTTATTTATTTTCTGCGACTAAGCGACTAATACAATTTTGGTCGACCAACCCTCTTCTGGTCAACTAACGGTTAGTCGACAGCCCTCCGTACTTATTGTGTTCATATTGTATTGCAAAACACGTTTGCTGATATTGAGGTGGGATAGGGGTAAGGTTAGAAACAGGTTTGGTGGTATGGGTAGGTTTAAGGGTGAGTTAAGGTGTAAGGGATGGATAAATGTAAATACAGAAATTAATTACAGATGTAATTACATGCAGGTATTTTTAAACATAAGTGCAACGTAAAAACATGTATGCACACAATAAGTGCATTGTACCAAATGATTCATTTAAATGTAAGTACATAGTAGTTAAGGCCACTTAATATAAAGTGGGGCCAAAAAGTTTGATAAAAAACCATGATATAATAAACCTCAGACAGAGTAGACACCAGCATTTGTTTTGGCCAAATTATATGGCAGCATTGCACTTCATGTAGAAAATCCCAGAATGCACTGCACTTGAGAAGTTAAGATAATGACTAAGTAGGCAGCATTCAGCTTACTAGGTTTCAGAATGAGCTTGTATGTCATTTGAAGTACTTTCAACATATTGTATTTTTGTGCACCTGGGTGTCAATTCTGCTGATGAAATAATGAAAACATGTCTTTCCACAGAACTTCAGTGGATTGAAAGTCTGAATTGTGAAAGACAGTACGTCAAATCAAATGCGGCCTGCTCTCACTGACTGCTATGAGCATGAGATAAGCAAAGGGATATTTGCTTGGATTTGAAGCTAAGGTTCTGTTGTAGTGCCCGTGCTGTTGTGCTGAGAACTGGAAGAGCGGCTATGCACATTCTCAGGGTCCTTCACCGTGCCCACGGCCTCCTCTCTGCCTGTGCTGGGCCTGTAGTGACACCCGCATTCATCATCCACAGCTGTCTGCTTCTACTATAAATCTCTGCCT